CAGAAGCTTGTTAAGCACTGAAGAACTCGTCACACTTTGCATTGACGGTTTGTTGGATGAAGATTTAGGGACTGGTACTATGCCGTCCCTTTTGTAAGATTTTACTGCGTCATCGACAAGCTCAGCCACTATCTGCTCATCAGATGGCAGTTTGTCCGCTTGCCGAGCAGACACTAATTTAATGGAGAAATTTTCGTCCATGGGGTCCATGAACGTCATAGCACCGACGAACATGTCAGCATCCACCTCTATGTACTCCTCCTCCACTTCAGCAAGGAGGTTGGGGTCGTACGGGTTGTCCACGAGTTTATCATCGAACGCCTCATCATCAGCCATATAGTCCTGCACCTCTGCAGGATCTTCGACACCTTCCGGTTCTTCTACAGGCTCCGAGTCCTGTAGGTCTCACTCATCAGACTCGATGGCTATGTTGTACATGCACAGTTTGGGCTTGTCATGATTTGGGCAATCATGTTGATACCCTACTTTCCCGCATTTATAACAACACGGTTTCCCATCCTTATCCAAGGATGGCATCGATTTTGTCATTGTAGACAACGTCCACTTTTCTGTTTTTGGAGCCGGCAAATAGCTCGCACGGAAGGTCAAGCATTGCCTGCTCTTCTGAGTTGACATGTTCCCCCCAAAGGTGTTTTTGTACACTTTCTTGGCGGACGAGGAATCAGCAGCCTTTTTGGGTGCTGCTGCAGTATTGGTGTTTTGTTTTTGCATCATTTTTGATGCGGTTGGCACCTACAATACACAGAGATTGCCTTAATTGAATCATATGCATGGTCCAGGTGGAGCACAGCGGTCCACAACTCATCTTTTGTTGTGTAATCCACGGAAATTTCATGGCACATAACCATCTCCTGATGCATTTCGCCAGGGATGGTGTTCCAGAAACGTTCATTGAACGTTGCCTGGTCAGGAGGCATGATCATCTCCTCAGCTGCACGATACAGCTGATTATAGAAGTGTTTGATTCCCTTTGTGGAATCGTATGAAAGCGTTTTGAATGCTTTCGTGGACGCTACTGCTGCATGTTAGAACTGGGCAAGGGCAGACGATTCCGGAGGGGAACCAGAGACTTAGCAAGGAGGGACCTTGGCCTCAGCGACTCAAGTGGAGCGCTGTGCCATTGCTGTTTGTCCATTTGGTCCTTAATTTCATAGGAGGCGAGCAGGAAGTCTCTAGGGGGCATTTCAGGTCGATTTTAGACTAAGGACTAAAACAAGTATGTACAAGCGCCGATATATATAATGGAGAGGGCGAAAGCACAAGGGAACAAAGGGGATCTGAATGGGAACGAAGGCGTCCGAATGGGAACAAAGGGAAGACAGAAGCGGAGCGGTACCGAAGGTCATAAGGCAGAACCTGTGGTATGTTCGAAAGGAGGTAAGGAGGGTGAGGCCCAGAGGGGCAGGAGGATGAGGGGAAGTGGGGATGATGACTAACTGGCTAGAATGAGAAGAAGCAGCAGTCCAAATAGGGATGAGGGGAAAATGCGAGAGATACATTACAAGCGGCGAAAGAGCCGAAGATGATCCATGGAGCTCGGAGCTTACGGAGCTTATGGAGCTTACAGAGGTGGGGTTGAAAGTCCGAGGAATATTGGCAATGGTGTTTACGTAGTATGAGGTCACCAATGCAATGGACTAAGGCTGAGGTGGAGTCAAAGTCCGAGGTAGGAGCTATGATGGAGGCTCGGAGCAAAGGTATGAGCGGTGTCCGAGTATGAAGTACGGGACAGCGGCGGAAGGTCGTAACTTGGCGGGGGATCGACGGAAGAGGGCCAGAGGGAAGAGAGAGGGAGGAAAGGTGTGGAGGAGAGGAAAGGTGTCAGGTCCGAAGGTGAGTATCGGAGCGGACGGGAGAAGAGTAGGAGGGTGATGGAAGGGTGGAGGTGGCATGGGAGGTGAGAGGAGGTGTGGTGCCAGGACCGAGGGTGAATATCGGAACAGACAGCGGTAGGGTAGGACTCCGGAGGTGGTGAAGAAGGAGGTCCGGGAGTCGGGTCGGGATCTGATATGCACGGATATGACACTGCAGACTTCTTGATGAAGGTGCAGATAAGGATCTCCAGTAGATCCCAGAATGGGGGAGTTACCCCATTCTGCACTCCAATGCGTATATAGTGCATTAGGAGGTCTTGCGCCTCGCCTTCAACAGCGGTTGTCAAAGTGTGGATGTGAAACTCTGTCAGGGGATGGACCCTGGGTCCCCATGACCCCTCTCTCTACAACCCACAACCTAACTGTAAACAGCCTAGTCTCAAGGCACAGCTACTGTGGGTAAGAAAGTGGGTAAGATAAAGGCAAGTAATGTACACTTGCCTACTGTGGGTAAGAAAGTGAGAAGAAGGTTAACTTCTCACTTTCCCTCAGTGGCCCAATATGGCGAAAACTTCCGGGGATACCCAGAAGTCACATGAAGGTAGGATCTGGGGACCGGAGCATGCAGTGCGGGAAGCATGTGTGGGAAGTGGAGCGGGTCCGGATGCGGGTCCGGGTCCGGGCTAAGTCAGGGTATGTGCCCTGACAAACTCGTTGTAAGCTTCACCCTTCCACCCACACGACGACATATAGGCTAGCCAGGAGTGCAGCCAGTTGTGAAATATCTTTGAGTTATTTTCTCCAGACCATTTAATGGTCGGAGTTAGTCCCCGCATCTTTTTGAGCAGTTCTGGATGGACATCTGCAGGCAGTGGCTGCAGGATTCAAACTTCTACACTTTGGCATGCAGATTCAAGAAGCTGAGCCATGAACTCAGATGGATCAGGCACTATTTGTGCCACAGGTGCTGCATATGAACGCATGGTTGAGTCAAACAAACCGGTTGTACAGACGAGCAGTTTGGAAAATTGGATGAAGGCTCCCGTTTTATCTCGGTGCCAAATGGGTCTGGGTTGGGCCAGGACGAGCCACCCTCACCACCATCCTTGTCATCACCATCCCCACTCAGACGGTGGGGCCTTCTTCCTGAGTTAGACCTAACTTGGTCTACATGCCTCTTGCTCCCTTCTGGAGCTGCAGGCGGTTGTGAGAAATGGTGGTAATTATCCAGCACCCATCTGAGTGCTGTGCTGTGGGACAGTCTATCAGGGTTTTCACCATTTGCCCCATGACCCACATTGTATATGAATGCCATGTCTGTATCCAGATGGGTGTTAAAGTCAAAAGTGGATTCGCTGAGACTATGCTCAGCGAAGATTGGTCTGACCTTGGCAAGCTGTCTGCCAATGTCATCTACACAATCCTGGACATAGATCATGCGTTTTTTCTGTGTGTGATAATCATATGGAACACTGATGACTTCTGCACCACCATCCTCCTCCTGTATCATCTCCACAGTGGCCTTCATTGGCACTGTTTTCTTTCTCCCATGGTTGGGAGGGAAATTACGTGTTTGAGTAGCATCAACGCATGGTATTTTCACCCCACTGTTCGTGGGTTGCAACAACAGAATGAACGGCATGGGCACGAAGCCTGGCCTGAAATGGAGTGGAGAAGTTCCACTCTCCCCTGCAGTCGACGATCCAGCCAGTTGTCCTGGGTCAATCTCCCTACCTTTTCCCTTGGCGTCAGTGGTTATTGGCACCATCAACAGGGTAGGTGGCTTAGTTCCACTAAAGATGGGAACAAATCGTCCCTGGAGCCCGGAAGTTGTAGTCCAGAAGATTGGGGTTGAGAAAATATCAAATGATAAAACAACAAAGAATAACATGACCAGAGGTAAGGTAGGAGTGGGGAGGTACCAGAGGGAAGGAGGTACCAGAGGTACACGACCGGAGGTGCCGGAGGTGTGGAGACCAGAAGTGGGAAGGAGGGTGGATAGGCAAGTTGAGGGTCACCAACAACAAGCAGATTGATATCCTTTGAACAAGAGGTCCAAGGAAGTGGAGGTGTGGTAGGGGAGGTCCAGAGGTGATGTGGAAGTGGATGGGAGGCAGAGTGGGAAAGAGTCGAAGGAGGAGGTAGTCCTAGGATCGTTAGCATTGACCAGAGGCAGCAGAGAGAGATTGGGAGGGCTGGTGGAGGTCATAGGAGTTGTCTAGGACTAGGGTGGAGGGAGGTGGAAGATCCAGGATATGGCACTAAGTGTCAGTTCTGTAAAGGCCTAACTGCCTTTACCCATTCAACGTATGTGAAGGTCTAACCACCTTGTGAAGACCCAACCATCTTCATGTTTATTTTACATCTTTGGGATGATAATTTGATTTTCTTGTTACATGTGCACACAGCATTTCTTGCTATCTTGATGCAATATCAATGTATCACATGGGAGGAGAGTGTAAGGCCTGGATAGGCCACACACACTTCCTTTTGTTCAATAAATTTATCTTGTATATACATTTTGACCAAGTTATTGTAATAGTGCATGAAAGTGCACTTGTCTGCTATTTACCAAGCTGCATGTATATGCCGACTTTGGTGTAAACTTATACATTGTATATACTGTAAAGTGGCATGGGGTGTAGAAAGGCTCTTTAGCCTATCTACTCCCCTGTTGAAATTATAGCTTATTACAGCATAATCTTTCAATGGACTGGGAACCAGGCAACTTAACACAAGCTACATGCTTCAGGTAGAAACTACCCATGATTACCCAACTTACACTCCATTGCCAGCCCCCTTGACAAATCAGGGACACTGTGGATGTAATGGGCACAGCACTCTGTTCCAAGTTGCTGAAGCCAAGTCCCTTCAACCCCTCATCACCCCCGGAGCTCTGCCCCACCTCAGCCTGTATCCAACCACCCGGACACTCAAGCTCCACATGACACCCTGCCTTGGAGGCTTATGGACAGCTTCCAGGTAGGTTTGTGACACTTACAGAGAGCCAAACCCTGACAGAAATCTTCCCTTACAACCCTTCCTGTCTTATGCACTTCTCTCTTTTTTCTTCCTTTTGAGCATTTCTCATTTCTTCTTTGTTGCTGTAAGAAATGATTGCACAATAGGGGGAAAATTTTTTGGTCGGTTCAAAGCAATTGTGTGTGAAAAGTGTGATATGATTGAATATAAGAATGTGCAGTGCAGAGTGGAGCAAGCACTCTAGTACATAATTTCTGCCAACAAAATCATATGGGATCTGCATTGCTTCAATGTCAAGGCCATCTACAAAAACAGATCATTCCACAAGCAACTGTCAACGGACCCGGTCCCATGACCCCTCTACAGTCACAGCCTGGCTGTAAACACAGCCATCTCAGGCATAGCTACTGGTAAGAAAGTATAGATAAAGAAGAGTAGCTACACTGTACTGTGGTAAAAAGAAAAAGAACTTCACTTCCACAGTGCAAATGCGAAAACTTCGGGATACCGAAGTCACATGAGGGGATCGGGGTCGGATATGCGGGGGGAGCGGCGGGCAGGAGGGCGGGAAGGGAGCGGGTCGGACGGGGGGTCGGGCAAGTCAGGGTAGTGCCGACAGCAACATGGACCATTCTGCTGACTCTCGATCACCATTAAAGAATGGTTTTAAGTTCTGAAGAGCACGCAACCTCTGCTCATTTGCTGCTGGAGGAAAGCCCTGAACAATGGTTTGAGCTGCAAGAATGGACTGGTAATGTGGCTCAACAGCCGGCAAAACCGCCCTGAAAGTCTTTGCACTGCAACCATAGGCGACAATTTCATAATGGTGGTCATCCCAGGCAGAGCTGTGGGTCTCACAATCTGTCGCTCCATTAACGGTCACAAGTCCATCTTCTTGCACTTTCTCAGCTCCGAGCTCGAAAATGATCGATATTACTGGCATCCCTTCATTTGGAACGGTGATCTGGCGAGAAACATGGCAAGATGATGTAGTCTCTTGGCGATTGTTGAATTTCAAGTTGACCGCTGATGTTGATTTCGGTGAGATAGATGCATCTGGCGGACCCATATGAACAGGAATAACAGCATCAATCGACTTCTGATTGTCTTTGGCTTGGAGAGCCATGCCACGCAGCAGAGCTACTGCCAGGTTTGGAGCAGACAGCATTTGAGAATCTTCAGCCAGAGCAAAATGGGAAAAAAAGATATAAGACTTCGCAAATGCCATTCCTAAGGTGGGCACATCCGTGTTGGCCGTCACCGAGTGGGCACCCAATATCACATCACGGAAGATGTTGTCCGTAAATAGAGCCTGGAGAAAGCCGAGGACATGGACAGGTCGATGGAAATATGGGTCAAAAGGATGTTCAGCAATTGCTTTCGACAAAGAGAGTTGACGTTTCAAGGCAATATCATGCGCAATGGTCACAAGAAGTCGACCACAGAGTTCCCCACGCTCTCCCTCCACAAGCAGTCTCTTTTCACAAGCCCGAGCTAGAATCTCTGGGCCTTGCTGTTCTATTCCCCCACCATCAAAAGGGTCATTCAGGTGCCACGCTGCAGCCTCTGCCAGTATAGGTTCAGAGGGCGACCCAGCATGCATAAACTCGCAATGTTCAGGGATGGCATAAATAACACGCATGTGTGACTCAACGAGTTCTGATTCCATAGTCCTTGAGACTTGAGTCGTTCGGTCGAAGGTTACCCCGATGCGAACCCCCAGAGCAGCAATGACAGTGTGAAACACTCTCGCTTCGTCCTCTTGCGCAGTCAGTTTGTCTCTGGCAAATGCTATAACAGGCAATCCTCCCATCTCCACCCAGTTTTTGTGGTGGACATACCATCTGTTACGAATTAGTCAATTTTATCGCAAATTAAGTCGTAGACACTCACAGGCCACGTCCAAACCCTACCATCACATCTGTTTGACCCATGTTTTCAAGGCTGCATTTTTTATTCTGGCGCTTCAAAGATTGAAATACTTTGTCCTCAAATATGTCGAACGGCAGCTCAGTGAAAGGAGGGAAGAGGCGGAGGCCCTGAGACATATGAACTGATGGATGGCTAGCGCGCGAGGGAGCGAATTCCTGAAGATGAGAGCTCGTAGATAGAAAAATGAAAAAAACAGGGAATTCTGCTAGCTCAGACAGCACTTTGCCAAGGTTATGATAGGGCGAGTAATGGCGTGCCTCGCTCTGCATTTCCAGTGGGGGTTCGGTAAGCTGGTGGGCTTCATCAAAGTAAACAACAGATTTGACTTCTTCTGTTCTCCTATCATTACTGGAGATGGCCCCGACAAATGTGCGGCATGACTCCTTCATTTCGGCTTTGTGGAGGTCCAGTTCCTGTTGGGCTTCTCTTGCACCTAGCCCCGATTGAATCTTCCCAAGAAAGTTCAGTAGGTGGCAGCAACCATTAGTGCCTCCAGACATCACCTCCATCGCCCGATCCACTACAGAATCCAGGAACTCCTTCCTATTCGTACCAACTTTGGTCTCAGTCCGTCCTTCGTTGAGATAATTGGACCATTGCCGGGCTAGCGCTGCTCCTGTTTTATGTTTGAAGACGGATTCCCGAAGGAGTGCGGCGGCCTTTGTGAATAGCAGGCCCAATATAATTGCATACTCTGCCTGTAGGCGAAGATCGCTTTTTATCCGATGTTCTCGAAAATAATCGCGAAACTTCTCGTCCGGGGGAGGATAGGCTAGAGGCAAAATCAACATCATCGATCAAAAATATTAGATTTGCGATGGGACATTGCGCACTTTTGACACCATCGCCAAGCTCCTCACGAATATTTATTGGAATCGTAAATATAGAGAGCGCGGCCTCCTCGACGATTCTGGATTTCCCCATACCCGAAGACTGGATGACTGATATAGACCAATTATGCGGCCTCTCAGGTGGGGCGCATGCACCTGACCGCCAATACTCGTTCAATACATTGATAAGCAGCTGGGGCGTCTCTCCCTGATAAGGCTCTTGGAACGCTGATTGAAGAGCTGACGCAACTTGTCAGGCAAATGAGAAGCTCAAGACGAACAGGTGCTCACCGCTAACACTAAGACTCCTCGGAAGCCCACCAGCCTCCTGATTGGAAAGGCCCCCCAAGAACGGCATATCGACTAGTAATGAAATCAGATACACTATAATACTGCCACAGAACTTACCAGGGTTGAACAACGTTGAGAAAGACGTGCCGCCGTATGCTGTAAAAAGTTGAGGCCATAAATTTGGGTTGGCGTCAATGTATCCAGCACATGTGTCCGTATCAGGAGCATCGGCACCAATGGGTAGATACGTCGAGAGCATGATTTTTAGTAATATTACTGGTTCCCAGGGAACATGAAGTGTTTGTCCGAAAGTGCCAGGATTTGTAGTTCTATAGTCATTGATTGCCTGGATAATGCGACTGTCGAGCGGCTGGTCTCTGGCAGCCCCGTCTTTTGGGTCCACGTCCATTGAAGAACTGGACTGATTTCAAACCCTTCGCTACGGTCACGCACTAAACCTGAAGCGACCGGTCATGTGCCAGAAAAAAAACTTCGGAAATTCGGAAAAGACCGACTGGGTAGGAGTCTGCACTGAAAAATTTCGAAGTTAAATCGTAAATGGAGTTTGAATGAAATTTTTGGGAATTGAGGCCAAGCATCTCCGACTGAGGTGGTATGGTCGGTTTGGGTTGTTTTAGATACATATCAAGGATCTGGGAACGCCTTCAGTAAAATACATGGATTCTGTGTAACACTTGGTCATCAGATAGAACTCTCGCCTCAGTCTCGAAAAGAGTTTTGAGGGAGAGGAGTCCAAAGATTCAAAGAGCTCTTGGAAAGACTATCGAGTTCGGTGACAGCTGTAAAAATGCGGCATATGAGCGATGCAATGATGTACCGAGTGAATGAGTGACACTTACCAGCCAGAGGGATAACGATGGCCCAACGGCTAGACTGAACAAGGCTATAGCAACAACGGAAAGGGAAAAGAGGAGGATGTTGGTGTCAATGACGAGTGCAGTATATCCGGGTATGACCTCGAGCGCCAGACAGCAATCTTCAGGTACTAGTCAATGTTGATACTGGGGTGGTTCTGTTCGGTCTCTTCTGTGGTGTCACCATCACGAAACCGAACATGCCAAAATTCTGGCGATCTTGGATGTATCAAGTGAGAATGCACGTTGCCTATGAGCTACACCAGTGCTGACTTCCGTAACAGCTGGATCCTTTCACTTCCGGGCTTATGAGCACGGAAATGCATAACCTCAGCGTTCGATGTGACCAGCGCGAATTTAATCCACCAGCTGGAGAGCAATGTGGCTCCTATGCACAGGCATTCGTGAATTCAGCTGGTGGTTATATCAACAACCTCAACGCCACCTCCGGGTGCGAATATTAAACATTTCGTTCGGGCATCGATGGAGGGATATAGGGATTTTTGTTGGTTTCGTTGGTTTCAATGTCATTCTCATATGTGGATTGGTCAGGCTGACTCTTACTGAAGCGCTCGACATTTCAGACCCATGATTCCCTGAGCCAATTAGTACCTTCATCCACTCGTAATCGCTTAGATCCCCTTCACGCCCTCGTCGCTCGTCATGGTCTGAATTGAATTTGTTGGTTATGTCTACACGTAAAGTACCACGTCAACCGAGATAGATTATCAAAGGGTTCTTTAGTTTCCTCGAAACTTGGAGTAATAGGCTGGGATTGATCTCAGCCTCTATCTAATGTTACGAAGTCACAGAGGCTGGAGTCCTGCACAAAGAGAAGGAGTCCATTGAAAAGGTGACACCCTAATTTGATGCCGGATGGCCATGTGCCTTGCAGCAGTCGGCTGTGACGAGGATCAGATCGGAGACCAGTGGGTGAATTACTTGCCAAATGTGAATAACGGCTGTTCGAAGGAGTGTCGAGAAATGGGGAAATAAACGGAGGTGGGGATCGGTGGTAGTTACTCTCTGTGTCCTCTGACGATGGTGTCACGTGTGCGCTAGTCAATTTTGGATATCTGAGCACTATATAGTGCATGTTTAGGCATGTTTGAACGCGCCATTTTGCTCTCCGCGTCTTTACTACACATCTAGTCGTGCCCCGCGATACATTTCTTGGATCGCCTAAGCCATGGGGGTCCCAAAATTATGGGATGTACGTGGCTCACGTTCCTGCAGCCTCGAACACATTCAATGCAGTCATCTCCATAGCTGATCAAGGATACGGCTGAGACGCGTCCCTTAATGCATCTAGCTGTGGTGGATGGGTTCGAAAAGAATATCAATGGGGAACGTGGGTATTGACGCGAGATTTGTGTTTCGTTCACTGTCATCGCACTTCGCCAGCGGTTCAAAGCCATAACAGCGTTTTTGCCGTCACAATATTTGGTTTTTTCATGCAAAGAATAGCCGAGAAGGGGAAAATCCAGAACTCAGACTGGTGTTCTTTCGTCTCGCCAAACTCCTGGCTCAGCCCATCCTACCATTGTTTGTATTCGATGGGGGACGTAGGCCTGCGTGGAAGCGCAACAAAGAGATATCCCGGAAGCCTCACTGGATGGTACAAGGCGTCAAAGACATGATTTTAGCTTTTGGATTTGAGTTTGTGAGCTGGGCAACAAGAACTGTGAAGTGCAGTCTCCAATCAAGGAGAGTAGACGCTGACGCAATGCCCCCCCCAGGCGGAGAAGCGGAAGCAGAACTAGCCTACCTCAATCAAATCGGGGAAATTGATGCCGTTTTGTCGGACGATGTAGACAACTTTTTGTTTGGCGCCAAGATCGTGATCCGAAAGTACGTTACTTGCGTGCGTAAGATATGGCAGAGAAAGAACGTTCGTCTACCGTTTTTGTTCGTAGCCCCGGGAGAGGCCTTAAATCCTGCTCTCAATTCTCAAGGGAAGGACGATGGGTACCATGTGCGGATATTCAACGCGGATGTTCTCGCGAGCGATCCAGATCTTCGATTAACAAGAGCTGGCTTTGTCCTCATTGGACTCATGTAAGCATTGATTCGTTGCACAAGCGGTGTCCCATTCAATTTATCAAGGGGCGGGGGAGATTATGAACAGATGTCACCATCATTAAAGCGTTTTTATTGAGGCTCATATCAATATCTTAGGATCGTTTGGAAGGATCAGCTGTGGATGGCTGCGGCGTTGACACGGCGCATGCTCTGGCAAAATGCGGATTTGGGGATTCTGTTTTGGACGCCTTTGCATCCCTCACACCCGTGAGATTCCAGGCATTTCTTGACACTTGGAGAGAGGATCTTCGCACGGAGCTTCGTACCAATTCTCAAGGCTTTCTTAAGACTAAAAAGACTTATCGACTGGAATCCTAGACACATTCCCAAACCTGGATGTCGTGACGGCATACGCTTCACCTGTCACCTCGGAATCTACCTCAAATGGCTGCCCAGCGCCAGATCGATGGTGCCGTGAGCACAGCCTTGCCCGACTCGCGACTTTTTGTGAGAGTAAATTCGAGCGGGGAACTAAAACACATATCCAAAAGCGCTTCGCTAGCCTCCTTTGGGGTGGAGCCCTCATTCGCATCATTCGACGAGCAGCCTTGGATCTTGATAACGGCGTTAGGGAATCAGGACGACGTTTGGTATTATTTGAAACATCCCAACCAGAGACTCCGAAAACTCCCGGGCCAAAAGGGACAGCGGTCACAGGCGATAGCATTGTCGAAACACCATCTAAAGTAGTTGCGGCCTGCCTCTCTGAGCTGGCGCTGACCTCGCCTCAGCGATTGTTTCATCAGGGGGATCACCGGAAGCACCACTGATCACCCGTCGACCGACTATATGCTGGAATATCGAGTAGAAATTAATCCAGCGCAGCTCATTGCCTTGACCCTCGCTGGCATCCGAGGAGACAGAGAGGATATAGAACACGATAATCTTCTCAGTAGTACTGATGCAAGTCCCACTATGAATCACAAATTGCCCCGGCGCACAGCCAAGGGGCTTCGTGTCTGGGTTCCCGCCTCCATGCTAGAATTGGTGGAACCCAACTTGGTAGCAACCTATAAGGCTTCCCAGGCCCAAAAGGGAGCCAAAAAAAAAGTCAGGAAAAAAATCTGGTGTGCGCAGCAAATCCTCTGAATCAGCTGGCCGGACATGTGCCCTTTTTGATTCGGAAGACTCAATATTGGATGGCCAGCTAGCGACAACGCCAACTTCAAAGGTAGCTTTTCACCGCAATCTATCTCCGATCTTGGGCGACGATGATATAGGAGTAAAAGCAGCGCCCCGGTCACCTTCCGACGCGCTTGATAATCCCTTTGACCTAACATTTACGAATGTCAAACCCTTGGTGCGTCGAGGTCCTTCATCTACGAGTTCAGTCATTACTCGTGGAATTTTTCTCCGACCACGAGCCCCTGCAAACCAAATCCCATCCCGTTACATCCCCCCGGAAATTTCCAGAAGTGAATCACGCGATGCGAAGCCGTGTGACTCCGGGGCCATTTCCGGCAACAGAAGTCACACGGAAGTGTAGGGTACCAAAAGACTCCCGAAATGTTATTAAGATCAAAGGCGATTGCCATAGGACTGGATCCACTATCGGATTCTTCCGCAAGCGAGACTCATGACCGGGACGTTCGGGCAGACTCTCCGTCCCCGTCGCATCAAATGAGACGACAGGAAAGGATATGCTCGATCCCTGCGTCGGCGCAGACTCGATCAGCGTCTACAACTCCAAGTAGCAGTTGTAGAGATTATTGATATCAGTAGTAATTCGGATTCCGAACCGCGATCTCTCAAACCGTCGTCGTCGATCAATCAGCCTGTTGTGAACGCGGCGTTCCATATATGGCAACCCGCTTCAGCGGTTCACTCGCAACCCGGATGTAATATAGAAATGAGAAGAAACTGTAACTAACTAAAATACACACGGCGCTCCAGCGCCCATATTTATACTTCCCAACAATATTCCAGGCTCATCTATGCCCAGCGCTTACGCAGGCGCCTAGTAACCCGTAGAATATTCTCGGATATTCCGGTTCAGTTTCATCATGTGACTCATATTCCAACACAGCCCGTTCCGACAGGATCACTCGGCTCTCGAAAGGGTGGTCCAAGTAGACAAACAACACTTCCTCCATCTTGGGTTTGTGTTAGATACTGATCCAGGGTCGGCACGAAGGTCGCCGATGCGGACGCTAAGGCCGCGATGGCGCGATGCTCAGACAAGGCCGAGGGTAGGGCATTTGGCCTCAGCAACTCTAAAGGGAGTGCTGTGCCCCCTAGTTGTCTCTTGGCCCTCATTTCGAACTTACTGGGGCTGCCTTGTTGGGGTCAGGGCTTGGGGTCGTGGTCAAGTCGATATTAGAGCTAAGGTACTATAATGTATACTAGGATATATATATGAAGGTGAAATGAATAGAAGCGGACCCGGGCCGAAGGCCGAAGGGTCCGGAAGCAAATAGGAACAAAGAGCGGGGTTGGCCGCACCGCGGCCGGCAATGACCAAGGGTCAAAACAAACAATAACAGATAAATAAACGAAGGGGTGTAGGGCCGCGATAGCGGCGATGGTATCATAGCGGAGTAGGCGATGTCGCGGAGTCACGCTAGGTCGGTACCAGAGGCGGACTCGGGGCAGGGAGGTCGGTGTGGCTGTGGGGGAGTCGGCCAGGTGCAGGGGAGCCTAGGGGCAAGCGGGGAAGTGAGCAGGGGGTCCTCAGGGAGGATAGGGCTGAGGTCGGGCTCGCGCTCACGCTCGCATAGCGGTAACGGGCTCGGTGCATCGGACGGGCAGCTAACGGGCCGGAATGCATGGTCGTGACAGTTTGAGAGACTGCCAATGGAACGTCTTCACTAGTTACTCGTCCAGAGTGACGCTCATCGAGGTCAAGGGCAACAACGAGCACATCTAACGGAATCATCGACCTCTCAAGTCCTTAATCGGAGAACCTGAGTTTAATGGCCTCGGTCTCATGGCGGGATTTTGGATTAGATGCAGAACGTTAATCCCCATATATGGACGTGCTTTCTTGCTTCTGAACAATCTTTATTGCTTCCGTCTGCATGAGAGCAGCATTCTAGTGAAAGTATAATTAACGACAGCCACAAAATCGTCTTCATTTGTAATCGGTAGAAACCAATAACTGCGATTCAAGATGAGGGGACATAATTTTTGCCAACAAAATCATATGGGATCTGCATTGCTTGGATGTCAAGGCCATCTATATACAGATCATTCTACAAACCACTTTGACCATTCTGCTGACTCTCGATCACCGTTAAAGAATGGTTTTAAGTTGCAAAGGGCATCCAAATTCAGCTTATTTGCTGCTCGAGGGAAGTCCTTGACAATAGTATGAGAAGCGAGAATAGACTGGTAATGCGGCTCAACAGCCAGCGAAACAGCCATGAAAGTCTTTGCAGTGCAACCATAGGCAACGATTTCATAATGATGGTCATCGAAGTGTGTTTTGCCCGCAGAGTTGCGAGTCTCGCGAGGTGTCGCTTCATTGATGGTCACAAGTCCATCTTTGTGCACTGTCTCGTCTCCGAGCTCAAAAATGATCGATATTACTGCCATCTCTGTATTTGGAACGGTGATCTGGCGAGAAACACGGCAATCTTCAGTCTCCTTGCGATTTTTGAACTGCAAGTTGATCGCTGATGTTGATTTTGGTGAGATAGACATGTCTGGCGGACCCATATGAACAGGAATAACAGCATCAATCGACTTCTGATTGTCTTTGGCTTGGAGAGCCATGCCACGCAGCAGAGCTATTGCCAGGTTTGAGGCAGACAGCATTCGAGTATCTTCGGCCAGAGCGAAATGGGAAAAAAAGATATAAGACGTCGCAAATGCCGTTCCTAAGGTAGGCAGATCCTCCTTGGCTGTCACTGAGTGGGCATTCAATATCACATCATGGAAGTCTTCTGTAAACAGTGCGCAGAGAAAGTCGAGGACATGGACAGGTCGATGGAAATATGGGTTGTGAGGATGTCCATCAACTGCTTCCGACAGAGAGTGACGATGTTTCAAGGCAATATCATGTGCAATGGTCACAAGAAGTCGGCCACAGAGTTCCCCACGTTCTCCCTTTGCAAGCAGTCCCTTTTCGCAAGCCTTAGCTAGAATTTCTGGACCTTGCCGTTCTATTCCACCACGATCATAAGGGTAATTCAGGTGCCTCCCTGCAGCCTCTGCCAGTATAGGTTCAGAGGGCGATCCAGTGTGCATGAATTCCCTATGTTCAGGGATAGCATAAACAACACGCATGTGTGATTCGACGAGTTCTGAATCCATAGTTGTTGATGCTTGAGTTGTATGGTCGAAGGTTATCCTGATGCGAACCCCCAGAGCAGCAATGAGAGAGTGAAACACTCTCGCTTCGTTCTCTTGTGCAACCAGTTTATCTCTGGCCAATGAAATAACGGGTAATCCTCCCCCCCTCACCCAGTTTTTGTGGTGGACATACCAACTGTTATGAATTAGTCAATTTTATCACAAATTTAGTAGACACTTACAGGCCACGTCCGAACCCTGCCATCATGTCAAAAACCCGTCGGTTAAGGAAGAAGGGGTGAATGCGTGAGTCCGAATGCAGGCGGGGGCTCAACTAGAGGGGGTCCGAAGGCTCCGGTGATGAACTGAAGCCCTCAGGGAGCCCGGTTCTGCTGGATGGTACAAGAGGCTCTAAGAAGGACGCGGCCTCAGCGACTCGGAGGAGCGCTGTGCCTCCGTTACGTCTCCGTTAGTCCTTGTATTTCTTATGTCTGAGGTGTCTTGTAGAACAGAGACGGGAATCACTCAGAGGGACTTTGGGTGGCATTTTAGTCGAGATTAGAACTGAGGAACTACAGGTTCTAATCTACGTGTATTTATAAAAGTGGATGGGGAGGACTTTAGTCAAAGCCCGAAATGACAAAACGGGGAAAACACCGAAAGGTACCGAATGATACCGAGAGGTACCGAATGGTTCCGAACGATATCTAAAACGGGGAACCGAGGTGTCGGGCCAAGGAGGGCGGAGTTGGAGGCCGGAAAATGAATGAGGAAGACAAATGGGGAAGGGGGGTTAGCCGACTGAATGGTAGTCGTGCTAAGAATGGAAGATGACTAATAAGTGATAGCGTGAAGGAGATCACCGAAGGATACGGTTAGTTCCGAAAGCGGAGTTGCGTGTCCGAAGGATGTTGGGTGACTACAATAAATGAAGTGGGCGAGGGAATGGTTTAAGGGCATGTCACGGGATGTCGGAGGTCCGTCAGGATATCGGAGCAAATCCGGGGTCTCCGAATGTTCCGACTCGGGACCGAGGTTCCGGGATGGGAGTAGTCAAGGTTCGGTGTGTCGCAACCCGACCGGAGCTGAGACAGCCAGGAGGGAAGGTGATTTGGAGAGTGGGGAGGCATGGTGTAGGGGATGGTGAAGTTGTTAGGAAGGTGTGATGTGGTGGGAGTGTGCGGGGTCGGGATTCCGGGATATGACACATCACATCCGTTTGGCCCATATTTTCAAGGTTGAGTTTTTTATTCTGGTGTTTCAAAGATTGAAATACTTGGTGCGCAAATATGTCGAACGGCAACTCAGTAAAAGGAGGGAAGAGGCGGTGGCCCTGAGTCATGCGAGCTGATGGATGGTTGGCATGCGAGGGAGCGAATTTCTGAAGATGAGAACTTGTAGATAGAAAAATGAAAAAAAAAAAAACAGAGAATTCTGTGAGGTCAGACAGCACTTTTCCAAGGTTGTGATAGGGTGAGCAACGGCGTGTCTCGTTTTGCGTTTGCGGTGGGACGGGTTCCGTAAGCTGGTGGGCTTCATCAAAGTAAACAATGCATTTGAGTCCAGTGCCAGAGAAGGCTTTAGTAAACTCATGGCATGACCTCTTCATTGCAGTTATGTAGCCGTTCGGTTCCAGTTGGACACCTAGGCTCGATCGGATCTTCCCAAGAAAATTCAGCAGGTGGCAGCAACCATTAGTGCCTCCAGACATCACCTTCATTGCCTGATCGGCCACAGAATCCAGGAACCCCTTCCTATTCATACCAACTTCGGTATCGGTCCGTCCTTCATTGAGATAATTAGCCCATTGCCGTGCTAGTGGTGCTGTGCTGTTATGTTTGAAGATGGGTCCCTTGAGGAGTGCGGCGGCCTTTGTGAATAGCAGGTGCAATATAACTGCATACTCTGTTTGTAGGAGAAGATCGCTTTTCATCCCATGTTCTTGAAAATAATTGCGAAACTTCCTGTCCGGAGGAGGATAGGCTAGAGGCAAAATTAACATCCTCGATCGCAAATGTGAATTTGCAATGGAACATCGCGCACTATTGTGACCATTGCCAAGCTCCTCACAAATATTGAGTGGGATTGTAAATATGGAGAACGTGGCTTCCTCGACCATTCTGGATTTCCCCATACCTGAAGACTGGATAATTGACAAAGACCAATTATACGGTCTCTCTGATGGTGGCCGCGCACGCGACAACCAATACTCATTCAATACCTTAATAAGTAACTGGGGTGTTGTTCCCTGATAGGGTTCTCTAAACGCTGATTCAAGGTCTGATGCAACTTGTCAAGTAGATGAGGAACGCAAGACAAACAAGTGCTTACTGTGAACACTAAGACTCGGAAACCTGCCGACCTCCTGATTGGTAAGGTCCCTTAAGAATGGCATATAGACTATAATACTGTCACAGAGACAACATAACTTACCAGGGTTGAACAGCTGTGAGAAAGACATGGCGCTGTATGCTGCAGAAAGCCCAGCCCATAGCATTGGGGTTTCGGACATGTAGTCAGCACATGTATTCGTATCAGGAGCCTTGGTACCAGTGGCTAGAAACTTTGAGAGCATGATTTCGAGTAAGAGGATTGGTTCCCAGGGAGCATGAAGCGTTTGTTTGAAACTGCCAGGACTTGCAGCTCTAAAGTCATTGATCTCCTGGATAATACGAGCGTTGAGCTCCTGGTCACTGGCAGCCCTGTCTTCTGAGTCGACGTCCATTGGGGGGACTGGTGAATGTGAAGCGTTTGTTTGTTTGTTTGTTTGTTTAGCCTGCAAACTTCAGGGGCAGGCGTCTCGAGAAAAATACATGCAAATAAAGTAGAAATAAGAAAATAAGTCCCACTCAAATGAAGCCCCCCTGGTGAGTCGTCACTTGGATATCGTGTTGCCAGCACTGAAAATGGGAGGGGTTCCGCTTCGCAAAGTGGACGTTATCTCTTGGGATGTCTTTCCATTGTCTCCTAAGGTGTGTTTTTCCTCCGCTTTCATTTACGAATCTGCCACCTGCTTGATCCCTTCTTCCTACCTAGCAAAGACCCGAGTTGCAGCTGTGGCACTCCCATCGAGACATGAGAGCACATTCTCATGGATCACCCTCTATACTGCGACCACCAAGAAAGGTGTGTCTGGTGCGTAGTTGGGGGGCTAGCGCATTAGCGTGCGACCCTTTTCGGAAATATCCGAAGAGGCTGTGCGAGTCACGCGCACATTATAACGTGACATATTCTGGCTACTGTATAGTCATTTAATTCTTTTGAATTATTTTCTTTTCAGTTCTTCACGCTATTAAGCTAAGACTGAGGTCTACTGTCCTAACCCAATCAATGCACATTCCCATTCAATGCAACAAGTTCAAATAGAAATCAAAGGCAAAATGGAGTTTGAGGTTGAGGAGATTCTCAACTCAAAGATTGACCAACGTAGATGCAACAAGCTGCTCTACTTGGTCAAGTGGTTAGGTTATGAAGGGACTGACAAGGAGATGCAATGGCTCCTGGCCAGCAAACTTGATCATGCCTCTGACCTTGTTGAGGCATTCCACTCTCGGTATCCAGCCAAGCCTGGACCTGATGTTCCTTAGGAATCCGACCCCTCTCCCATCTCTCCTTTCCTTCCACTCTGTCAGGGCATACACCCTGACCTAGCCCACACCTGCATCCACACCCACACTTGCACCTGCACCCATGCCCACACCCGGCTGTTGCACTTCCCGCACTTGCCCTGTGCCGGATGCTCCATGCAGCTGGATGCCCCGGGCCTTGGGTCTCATATGACTTCCAGATGTCTCTGGAAGTTTTCAATCTATTGTGGCCACTGTGGGAAGATGAGAAGTTAACTTCCTTCTCATCTCTGACCCACAGTAGGTTGTGCCCTGGACAGGGCTGATTACACCTGAGACTGTGGACCATAGGGGAGGGTCATGGGGACCCGGGAGTTGTCCCCTGACACACTCCTCACTTTCATTTTCATTTCTATTTTCATTTTTCTGTAATTACAGCTCCCCTCACCTTACTAATTCTGGGCCTTCATGGGTTCAGGTATAAGAAGGGGATACTGTCATATCCATCCACTGCCACCACCTTCTGTCACCTCCAGCCACCCTGGGTTGCCTCTGCTCCTTCGTCTCCAACCTTGGAGCCTCTGGATTCTGCAATCCCCTCTGTGTAAGGACTGGCAATGTGTATCCACACATTGTCCATCTTCGCCCCAAGTGTGACTATAGTCATGCTGCAGTATATTATCACAGTTGTATAATACTAAGCCGCATTATATCATGTAAATACATGTATATACAATGCGCAGGTAGAGTAAAGGTAACTTAGCCTTTACTCCCCCATTAACAATACAGCCTATTACAGCATACTTGTGAGACAGACTGGGAGTGTGAGGCGATCTTAACCACATGCTTACACTTTTTTATGCTCAGTAAGTTAATCCAGTTAACCCTGTGCTTGTTCCCAATTCGATCAATGCTGCAAAGCATGTTGATCTAATCTACACCCAGACCCTCTTCCCCAATGAGTTCTTGAGGGGCAGCTGGATCGTCTTCTTCTTGAAAGAAGACAAAGACTGTGCAGAAATCTGCACAAGAACTCAATCCTGTTGCAGATGTTGGTGAGCCCGACACTGCACCAATTGACCCTGACCGATCAGGAGCCCTAATGTGCCTCCAGATGAGCTAGACTTGTCAGGAGTGGTGGCTGATACAGAAGTACCAGCTGTGATTGCTGCCAATCTGGACAACATGCTGATTGACACTGAGACTCAGTCAGTGGTGAGATGTCAGGGACATGTCCGGGTCGAGGCAGTCTGGGCATAGCATCCGGCGCTGAGGACCTCATGGGGGGTAGACTGGGCATGCATACTGGCAGGCCCAATGTGGGACAGCGGTCCCTGGCCACTTAGACTGAAGTGGGAATGTGTCAGGGACTCGTCCGGGGTCGAGGGAGCCTGGGTGTAGCATCCAGGGCTGAGAGCCTGGTGGGGGGCAGATCAGGCGTGCATACTGACAGGCCCAATGTGGGACAACGGTCCCTGGCCACTTAGACTGAAGTGGAAAGATGTTATTGTTATTAAAAGGGGAATGCTATACTACTTACCTGAAGTGGAAAGCTGAGAAGAAGGCTACTTCTTCGGTTCCCACTTCAGGTATGTTTATATACATGCGGCTTAGGTCACCTGATGGATGCCATGTCACCTGTCAGAGACCAGATTCGAGATGAGGGAGAGTCTCTGTAGCGGAGGGCTTTGGCCTCAGCGACTTATGCCAAGAGCGCTGTGCCTAGTGACACGTCCGTGCCCTAACTTACTGACTGGCAATCAGAACCGAAGGGGGGTAACTCTAGTTGATTTTATTACTGGAGTGTAACCTATGTACAAGTTGGATATATATATGGTTACAGCGAAGACGGGTCCACAAATGGCGGAGCTGAACGGAGCGGAACTAACGGGGTTAAACATTAGCCGACTGAATGTTACCAACGAGTCGGGTTGTGGGGTTAGCGGAAAGGCAGGCGATAACCCAGAAACGGAAAGGAGGGATGGGCCTGAAGGTGGGCTCTGCAGGGCAGGCGAGTGTATTGCCCAGCGGAGGTGGGAGTGCGCTAGCGGACGTCGGAGCTGTCCGGAAGTCTTTGGGGCTCCATACTTAGGGAGGCATTGGTAATAAATTGAAAGGAGGGGGTGGTGACCATCGAGGGGTGCCGAGAGGATTGCGGAATACGGGAGCTCCGAGGTTAGTGAGGAAGGAGCGGAGTTAGACCGGAGGGATCGAAGGGACCGGAAGTCGATGGCCGGGGATGGATATGACAGTATCCCCTTCTTAGGCCTGAACCCTTGAAGGCCCAGAATTAGTAAGGTGAGGGGAGCTGTACTTACAGAAAAAGAAAAAATGGGAAAATGAAAAATGGAAGTGAGGAGTGGAGGGAGAAGGAGAAATGGGAGAGGAGTCAGGGTTCCTAAGGAGCTTTGGGTCCAGGCTTCGCTGGGTACCGAGAGTGGAACGCTTCGATGAGGTCGGAGGCGTGATCGAGTTCGCCGGCAAGGAGCCATTGGGTCTCCTCATTGGTCCCTTCATAGCCTAGCCACTTGACCAGGTAGAGCAACTTATTGCATCTACGTCGGTCGATCTTGGAGTCGAGTATCTCCTCGATCTCAAACTCCATCTCGCCTTTGATTTCTACAGGAGGCAGAGGTGGCTGGTGGGGGTTCGGAATGGTGTTTGGGACGGAGGGTTCGATCTGCGAGACATGGAACACAGGGTGGATGGCTTGCATGTTTTCCGGCAGGTGGAGAGTGAGGGAGTGAGTTCCAATGCGGGCGATAATCTCGAATGGGCCGAGGTTTTTCTCGGAGAGCTTTTTGGAAGGTTGGGTGGAGCGGAAGTACTTAGCCTTTACGTAGACCGAGGTTCCTACTTCGAAAGCTGGGGCAGGGCTCCGATGGGAGTCTGCCGGGCCCTGATAACGGATCTGAGCGAGATGCATTTCCTTGCGAAGGAAGTGGTGGAGGGAGTCGAGATCGATGGAGTACTCTTGGGCATGTACTGATGTCAGGTCTCGCTCTGGGTGAACGGTGATGTTCGGATGGTAGCCTTTGTTGGCGAAGAACAGGGAGACACCCGTGGTGGCATTCGGAGTGTTGTTGTATGTGAACTCTGCGAGAGGCAGGAGTTCGGACCAATTGTCCTGCTGGTAGTTACTGTAGATGCGCAGGTACTGCTCGAGCATCTGGTTCATCCGTTCGGTCTGACCGTCTCCTTCCGGGTGATAACCGGAGGTGAAGTGGAGGCGGATGTCGAGGGCCTTACCAAGTGAACGGAAAAAATGAGAGACAAACTCCGGACCCCTGTCGGAGGTGACGTGGGATGGAACTCCGTGCTTGGAGAACACATGGAGGAGGAAGAGCTTGGCCAGTTCCGGAGAGGTGATGGTATCGTGGGTAGGGATGAAAATGCACTGTTTGGACAGGCGGTCCACGATGACCAAGATGGGAGTGAATCCGGAAGAGGAGGGTAGCTGTTTGATGAAATCCATGGAGATGGAGTTCCAAGGATGTTCGGGGATGGGGAGTTGTTTGAGTAAGCCGTAAGGCTTATGACGGGGAACCTTGGCACGGGCACACGAAGTGCAGGAGGATATGTAACTCTTGACGAAGTCATGGATGCCCGGCCAGGTATACTCACAACGTACTAGATCCAGAGTCCGGTTTTGCCCGAAGTGTCCGGAAAGTTGGTGGTCATGTTTGTCTCGCAAAACGCGGAGACGGTGTCAGGGACTGCGTGTCAGTTCACGACGATAAAGGTGTTCCCGAGAATCCTAGTCGTTGTTAACGCTGAAGCGCTGTAGGCAGGATAATCGCCCACGCGCAGCGCCGGCTCGGATACCCGTTTCCACGATTAGAAAACCACCTTTCATTCATACAACGACTCGACACGGATTTGGTATCTAAAAATAGTACTAATTCCTACAATCCCATCGATACCAAGAACGTCCTAATCGGTGGAGAATTGACGGAGTTCTGTGTTGGACAAGTTAGGCACGGCAGGTCACGAGTATGTGCGGGCGTGGGAATCTCAAGGAGCAACCCAGAATTCCAGCCTCACTCGTTCCCACGGCGTCTAATAAATTGGTAAAAATGCTCATTGGCTGCGTAATAGTTCCATTCAGCCACATTTCCAATTTTGGCCTTTAATTCCGTAAATCCGTTGAGAAATCGCT